TTAGTGAGTGTTTTTCCTTCAAAATTATTGAAACATCTGGAAGTCGATGCGGGAGTGCATAAACTGCGCAATTCCGTGGTAGTTTCTGCACTCCTGCGTTGGCTTCCAGATGTTTCACTTATTTTCACAAAGGTTTTCTATTATAACACAGCGAATCCGGAATCCGGTCAAGTGCGCGAAGTGATACGGAGCAGGATGATGCAAACAAGTTCACTTACTGGAGAGATCAGCAATATTGAATTTCATTTGATGATCATTCAGTAAATCATAATGAATACTGAAAACTCGGTACTCTATTTTACTGAGCTGTAGTCATTCCCCGTAATTCTGGTATTTTTACGGAAAATTCAGTACTTGCTATTACCGTATTCAGTAGTTAGTCGCAAGAGCTACTGAACATCAGTAGTTTCATTGAGAATAGCTGTATGTTCGGTATTTTTTGTGATTTACAGTTCGAAAACTGTAAAAAAAATTACCGAACAGGAAAGCCATGATTAAGTGTGTGGCGAGGTAGATGGAGACAACGTTTAACATGTCTTTGTGTGGGTATAGTCAACATACCTACTCGCCACTCTATAACGTGAACCCTCTGTATCGACTTGGCACCATTCAACAGAGATGGTTTGGACGCAAGCTATCATTCGAGTGTGAAAGTGTTGAGCAGGTAAGACGTGTATCCGAGTGTACCATTGTTATCCTGCAATGGGTGATTTCCCGGTGGAGTTTAGCCCTTCACATTTGGCGACCGTGAGAGGTTTTGCTGAAATTTCCACAGCAAAGTAATCGAATTTCAATATTAGTAATCAATCAAGAGGAAATCACCCATTGCACGAATAAAGAAAAAGGAAAAAGATGCTAGTTTCGGAAAACAAAATGGCTACCACATCCATTTTTACATCAAAATGGATGGTTTTTGAAAATAAACGAGCGAGTTGGGAGGACCGCTTAATTTGTTTGGAAAGGCGAGTTGAGAGGATCGCTAGATATTGCCGCGCGTTGGGAGTACCGCTTGCATTTGGAAAATAAATAAGGGCAGCGTGTTTGGAGGACCGCTTAAAGAAAAAATCAAATTAAAAGAGTAGCAGCGTAGTTGGGAGGACCGCTGATATTGATTGAAAAGGCGAGTTGAGAGAACCGCCAGGTTTTTGCCGCGTGTTGGGAGGACCGCTGGCTTTTGGAAAATGAATAAGGAGTAGCGTGTTGGGAGGACCGCTTTAGAAAAAAAAATGTTTGAGTAGAGAGTGTTCCAAATTAAAAGAGTGGCAGCGATTTGGGAGAACCGCTGGTTGTATTTTGTATAAAACGAGTCGAGAGAACCGTTAGTTTAAATTGATAAAAACGAGTTGGGATGGCCATTTGCTTTGACAATTTTTTTGTTGCGTGTAATAGCAAGCAGTACAAATATCTTTATTATATCTTTAACAGATTACGTAAATCTTTAACCGTATTGTTTGTCAAAAATGTTTTCTGCGGGAAAATACGTACGTGCACCAACGGTTACCTCTGAAAGTGATTCGGATGGTTCATCGTACGGGGAAACTAGTTGTCACGGAAGATATGTGCGCGCACAACATGCTCAGCATTCCGAAGCTGAAGATGAGTTGGCCAGTGACGAATACGCCCATTATAACAAACTCGTAGAGTCGGATGACCGTAAACAGCTGGAGGCACGAATAAACGAGCTGGAAAACGTTATTGAAGAGCTGCGTAGTATTCGTGGCAGTGCGCGAGTAGAAAATCCTACGATCAGTTCTACGACCGATGTAGACAGTACACCAAGAGTTTCATCAATATCTACCAACGACGGGAGCATCAGATGGGATAATATTAAACCATTCCCAAAAAACGTTCCGGCTACAAAGATGTGGGAAGCATGGACAGGCTTCATCGAGGATTTCCAAATAGCAGCTTCATTATCAAACGTTAGGAATCCAAAGCGTCGAGTCGAACTGCTTACACTTTCCATGGGCGATGAGCTGAAGAGTATTGTTCGGGCGGCCAAGTTGCAACCATGTTCAGAGGATGACAATTGTTTTGAAATCTTTGTGAAGAACATCGACCAGTACTTGAAGTCCATGACTGACCCCGCTGCTGAGCACGAAGCATTTTCAAATATGCACCAAGAAGAAAATGAATCCGCAGTTAATTTTCACGCACGATTGACGGAAAAGGTTCGCCTGTGTCGCTACAGTCCTGAAGATCAAGACCGCTTCGTTCGAACCCAGCTCTTGAGAGGACTTCGTAACCAGGAACTCAAGAAGGCGGCACGTACATTCGGTTACGATTCAAACTATATCGTTCAATCTGCGACCCGAGCCGAAGCGTTTCAAGCTGAAATTACGGCCTCAGTGATGGAGCCCAACGTCTTGGCAGTGTACAATCAGAACAGCGAATTCCAACGTCCGTACAAGCGCAGAGGAGAAGGTCAACACACGATTCAAAGTTCAACAAAACGGTTCAAGGATAGCTCACGATACCAGATGAACAGAACACAGTCGAGTCGTCGTAATAGATGTTCCAGATGCTTCCGTCCATCACATAGAGGCGAGGAGTGTCCAGCTATGAATAGGAACTGCAACTCTTGCGGTCGACGCGGACATTTTGCGGTGGCATGCCGTAAGGATAATGTCAATGTGGTAAAGCATGAAGGTCTCGCGCGAAATCCTGTGAATGAAGATAACAATGATCAAGTAACAAACTGAATGTTTATTTGTTTGGAAATATACCTTACATTTTGTAACAAAACATTTGGTTTTTTTTAGCAAATCAATGCTCTCTCTCTACAGGATGTGCTTGTCGCTTGTCGTGTTGGTTCTTCCATCCCAATCAAGTTTCTTGTTGACTCTGGCGCTGATGTGAACGTTATTGGCGGTAACGATTGGAACATCTTAAAAGAACAGCTTAAAAATCGTAAAGCTGTGTTTCATCCGAGATCAAACGCCACTAACACTCATCTACAAGCATACGCCAGCAACAAGCCTATGCAAATCGAGTGTGACTTCAGGGCTACAATTGAAGCAGTTGGTTATGACAAGCCGATAATCATAGCCGATTTTCTTGTCGTGAAGGAAGGGAATCGGTCTTTGCTTGGAAGGGTAACTGCCAGCGATATGGGACTTCTCAAAGTAGGAGATATGGTTAACAATTGCGAACAATCTGGAATATTTCCCAAAATGCCAAACGTAAAGGTAAAATTCAGCGTTGATCAGTCAATACCACCAGTACGAAACGCGTACTACAACATTCCCGCCGCATACCGGGAAGGAGCACGGCGCAGACTCGAAGAGAACGAAGAACGGGGGATAGTCTAGTCTAGTCTAGTCTACACATACACAGCCAGTACTTGAAAGAATCCTGGAAAATGATACATCTATCATTTTTCTTGTCATTATTAATGCCTGCTGCACATCAAGGATGTGAAACAAACAATAAAGCGGCCAGGCCTACTGTGTAGCGTTTAGTTAATTTTTGTGGAAGTGAATGTTTACCATGTCTACTTAATAAGTATAGACAGTGGTTAACATTTAATCCACAGGTAATCAAAGAGCGGGGACATACCGTACCAACCGCTCCGTATGCAGGATTTGAAAATAGGCTATATAAATCGTTGGGAGTGACAGAGCTAAGAAAGTTAATGTACACTCCTTGGTTGTCCGATCTCCTGGGATGGAACACAGGTATTTACCCCTTGTGTTCGAGCGTACAGTCCTCCCTCCGTACAAGCGTGGACGGCACCGCCAACCCACTGCCATCCCTCAATCGATCCAGCCGACCTCAGTCGAAGGACAACAGAGAGCGGTGTGCGGACGTAACCTATACGGAGGGAATGCTGTATTCGCCTAGGTTATAGCGCCCTTGCTCGCTACCATTTTCTTCTAGCGGTTGGGACCTGAGCACTAACTCTTGTCCTAGCCCTATATGGCATATGGTTATAGCGCCATTACTCGCTTTCTGAAAAGAGAAGAAGGGAAGGGAAGGAGAGGAAAAGGACTTGGGAAAAGGAAATGCGGAATTCCTTTCCTCATTAGTATTTGTATCGTCAACTTTTATGAAAACTATATAAATCATTGTTCGTGCATCATCATTATTCATCACGAAAGATCATCGCAGAACCACCTACATGTCAACCTGCAACGTGGACACCGCCGATCCCCTCGAACATTGATAGGTCGACCGACTCCGACAACCATTGAAGGATGACGTTAACGGCCCTTCGGAAATGGCAACATGGTGGAAAAATAACTTCCGATCACCCCTCGGATATAAAAAGCTCGATTCGTCGTTGGTGTGGTCTCTTGCTTCCTGAACGTCATCGGTGAAAAAAGTCAATAATAAACAGTGAAGAATTTTATTGAAGTGGTAGAGATTTTGAAGAGAATAAAAAGTGAATTGCATGTTTAACTAATGTCATTTTCGTTTTTACTACACTACACCGGTGTAGTGTAAGCAGCAATAAGTGCGAGTCATTGACAGTTCATCATCACTTCTTTGTAAACAAAGGTGCAACCGATAGCTACACCCTAATTTTTTTCGGTGTTCGGCAGTGTAGCACCGGTGTAGCTACACCGCAAAAACGAAAACGACATAAGTTAAAGATAATAAAATAGTGATTAATTTAAAAGAAGAAGAAGTGTAAGTGATTTGCACCTGCATCTGGAACCTGAAAAGAAAAGGAAAAAGGGAAACCCTACCTTCCTGCGCTCGTGAACTGGTGAATCGCTGCTCGTCTTTGTGCTACCGACAAAGTGGTCCTTCGAACCGGATACCGTCGAACTCCGGTCATCCGCCTGCCCTACTGGAAATACACACCACGTGTCACACCAGGTTGAGGTTACCCGCTCCACATCTAGGTTCTCCTAGCAACGATTGGATAAAAATACAAGGCATTGCTTGCCTGATATCAGGTAATTAGGTTTCCAATCTTGCTATTCATTGCCCTTTTGAGCTGCGCGGTCTGTGGCTTTCAGATCCGACTCAACCCTTCAACACCTTCCTACACGATGTCGAACGAGCGGCGAATTAAATCGCTGAAGACGAGGCAGAAGAGCCTCCTAACCTCGTTCGGGCTTATCAAGTCGTTCGTCGATGGCTACCAGGAGGAAACTGGTGCTCACGAGGTTCCCGTCCGGTTGGAACACCTTGTGGCCATCTGGAACGATTTCAACGCCATGCAAGCCGAGCTCGAAACGCTGGATGAAGCGGCCATCGAGGCTCACTTAAAGGAACGCATCGAATTCGAGACGTCCTACTTCAGGGTGAAGGGATTCCTGCTCGCCGTCAATAAAAACGAACCAACGTCGCCACGCACTTCTTCGTCTTCTTCTTTAGCCACGCAAAGCCCTCTGTCGTCGCATGTAAGGTTGCCCGACATAAAACTGCCAATTTTCGCCGGAAATCTCGACCAATGGTTGAACTTCCACGACCTCTTCGTTTCGTTGGTCCACTCGTCGCATGAACTGTCGAACATCCAGAAATTTTATTATCTTCGCTCGTCGCTCTCTGGGGATGCTTTGAAGCTCGTGCAAACCATCGCTATTAGTGCCAACAATTACCAGGTCGCCTGGAATCTGCTATTGGACCACTACCAGAACCCCGTACGACTAAAGCAGTCATACGTCGACTCACTGTTCGAATTTCCTTCCGTCAAAAAAGAGTCCGCTTCGGAGCTTCACTCACTGGTCGAAAAGTTCGAAGCCAACGTGAAAGTCCTTCATCAGCTCGGGGAGAAAACGGAATACTGGGACATTCTGCTGATCCGCATGTTGAGCATCCGTTTAGATCCCACTACCCGGAGGGATTGGGAAGAACACGCATCGACACTCAACGCCGTATCGTTCCAGAATCTAACGACGTTCATTCAACGCCGAGTTTCGGTTCTTCAAACTATCGGAAAGACCACCGAGACTCCATCACCGATCAACTTCTCCAAGAAACCGGTTCAACGAGTGGTTGCCAGTCACGGAGCAAGTCCAACCAACCAACGAAAGTGTGTTGCTTGCTCGGATCATCACCCTCTGTACCAATGTATGGTTTTTTCAAAATTGAGCGCTGAGGAGAAGGATAGAGAAGTTCGTCGTCACCAATTGTGCCGTAACTGTCTGCGTAAGGGACATATGGCCAAGGAATGTCCGTCTTCGAGCACTTGTCGCAAATGTAGAGGTCACCATCACACTCAGCTTTGCCAAGGTTCCGCTGCAACTAGCTTGAAAGTTGCTGACATGCCTCACCCGAAGGAGAATTCAACCCAACAATCAATCGAACAACCATCCGCTTCGGTATCAGCAACCCTCAACGAGCAGGTCAGTTACGCTTCCGCTGGACACGGACACAAAAGAGTTCTGCTCGCCACAGCTGTAGTCGTCGTAGTCGACGATAATGGGACGGAACATGCTGCTAGAGCGCTGCTAGACTCAGGCAGTGAATGTTGCTTCGCCACAGAAACGTTTTCGCAACTTGTCAAGGTCCAGCGTAAGCGAATCCACCTTCCTATCGCCGGAATAGGACAATCTTCCACGAAATCACGCTTCAAGTTCCTCTCGAAAATCCGCTCTCGTGTTTGCGACTATAACACCACTGTTGAATTTCTCGTGCTGCCGAAAGTCGCAATCGATTTGCCCTCAGCTGCTGTCGACACATCGTCTTGGGAGATTCCACCTGGCATTCAACTAGCAGATCCTGCTTTTTGCCGAACCAGCCCAATTGATCTTATTCTAGGTGCGGAAGTCTTCTTTGAATTGTTCAAAGTCTCGGGTAGAATCCAACTTGGTCCTGGTCTGCCAACGCTCATCAATTCCGTCTTCGGCTGGGTCGTCTCCGGGAAAACCACCCAGTGTCCATCAATCACTCCGATCGTTGCCAACATCGCTACTGTTGCCGATTTGAACAATCTCATGGAGAAATTCTGGTCGCTTGAAGAGGACAGCTCACGAACTTGTTACTCGGTGGAGGAAACTGCATGTGAAGAGTACTTTCGTCGAACGGTCTCTCGAACTCCCGAAGGTCGTTACATCGTTTCTTTGCCTCTGAAGGAAGACATTCTCGCTAACCTCGGCGACAATCGTCGTACTGCTATTCGTCGCTTTCGTCTCCTGCAAGGTCAGCTCACTCGAAACGATGAACTCTGCCAACAGTACCGAGATTTCATGGACGAGTACGAACAGCTAGGTCACATGGAACTTGTGCAGGATTACCAGCAACCACAACATCCTTCTTACCATCTTCCCCATCATGCCGTCATACGAGAGGACAGCACCACTACGAAAGTACGCGTGGTCTTCGACGCGTCTTGCCGTACACCGAATGGACCATCCTTGAACGACGCACTCATGGTCGGACCTATCGTGCAGGAAGACCTGCGATCAATTACAATGCGATCCAGAATCCACCCGGTCTTGCTCAACGCCGATGTCAAGCAAATGTATCGGCAGATTCTGACGGACCAACGTAGCAACAACCTGCAGCATATCGTGTGGAGTCCGTCACCAGAAGCCCCTCTACAAACATACGAGCTGAAAACCGTTACTTACGGTACCGCTAGCGCTCCGTTTCTTGCTACACGAGTGCTGCAGCAACTGGCTGATGACGAGCAGAACGATTTCCCCGAAGCTGCCAACGTTCTTCGTAAGGACTTTTACGTCGACGACTTGTTTTCCGGAGCGAACACGATAGAAGAAGCAATCACTCTACGAAAGCAACTAGAATCTCTTCTCAAAAGAGGAGGATTTGAACTACGGAAATGGGCTTCAAATGAACCAGCGGTAGTAGAAGACGTCCCGACCGAGAACAGGGCTCTCAAGTCATCGGTCGACCTCGACAGGGATCAGTGCATAAAAACCCTTGGGCTCCACTGGGAGCCAGCCACCGACGTTCTTCGCTACAAAACTCAACTTTCTTCAACCTCATCTAACGAAGCTTTGACAAAACGGATCGCACTTTCGTACATAGCACGATTGTTCGACCCACTTGGACTTGTTGGACCCGTCGTAACAACAGCAAAAATCTTTATGCAAGCGATTTGGACACTCGTGGACGACGAGGGAAAGACATGGAGCTGGGATAAGGAACTTCCACCCACATTCAAGACCCGTTGGGAATCGTACCAGTCTCAACTTCCCTCCCTCAACGAGCTTCGGATACCACGTTGCGTTCTCTTTCCGTCATCAACATCATTGCAAATCCACGTCTTCACCGACGCCTCCAATCACGCATACGGTGCGTGTGTCTACCTTAGATCAACAAACTCCAATGGCTGCGTCAAGGTAGCGCTCCTGACCTCCAAATCTAAAGTCGCACCCCTCAAGAAACAAAGCATTCCGCGACTTGAGCTGTGCGGTGCCCTTGCTGGCGCTCAACTCTACGAGAAGGTTAAGGCTTCGCTTCAATTAACGGTCGATACATTTTTCTGGGTCGATTCCACTGTAGTACTCTGCTGGCTGAAATCCTCTCCCTCTACATGGACAACATTCGTGGCGAACCGAGTATCTAAGATCCAGCTTGCTACCAAAAACTGCTCGTGGAATCACGTCGCCGGAATACAGAATCCAGCTGATCTCATCTCTAGAGGAACAACAGCGGATAATCTCACCGAAAGCAATCTTTGGTGGAACGGTCCCGAATGGCTACAGCGTGAACCTTCCGAATGGCCAATAGCTCAATCCAACTCTAATCAACCCGAAGAAGCCCTTCGAGAAACCAAGAAGCTACTCGTCATGGCAGTTCCAGCTGCCGAAGAACCGTCATTCATTGATGAGCATGTCGGAAAGTTCTCCAACTACGCACGCATGTTACGGATCACAGCGTACTGTCTTCGATTTCTACAAAACTGTCGGCTTAAAATCACTCAGCGTCCAACAAGCACCTTTCTCACCACGGAGGAAATCATCAAATCCGAATCGACACTAATCAAGCTAGTGCAGCAACAATGTTTTGGCAGCGAACGACAACAACTACTACAACGGCAACCTGTACTAGCGAAGTCTCGTCTTCGATGGTTTCATCCTTTTCTCGACGACAATCAAGTTCTTCGGATCGGCGGACGACTTAGCAACTCTCAACTTTCGTTCGACAACAAGCATCCCGTCATCCTACCATCGTCACACGCATTCTCATCGCTGCTGGTTAGATCTTTTCATCTACGACATCTTCACGCAGCGCCACAGCTTCTTCTCACGCTACTCCGTCTCCGGTATTGGATCATAGGGGCCAGGGATCTTGTCAAGCGAATGGTCCACAGCTGCGTCATTTGCTTCCGGAACCGTCCTAAAATGATAGAACAATTTATGGCGGAGTTACCTGCTGCTCGTGTTACTGCAACTCGGCCGTTCACCGTAACCGGCATCGACTATTGGGGGCCCATCCAAATCAAACCACATCATCGACGAGCAGCACCGAGAAAGGCATATGTAGCTGTTTTCGTGTGCTTCTGTACAAAAGCCGTGCATCTGGAATTGGTGGTTGATTTGAGCACAGCGAAGTTCATCCAAGCCTTGCGACGATTCGTCTCCCGGCGAGGTCTCTGTTCCGAAATCTACAGCGACAATGGACGAAATTTTGTAGGAGCTGCCAACGAATTACGTCACATACTTCGCAGTCAAGAACATAAAGCTACAGTCGCCGAAGAATGCACGAAAAACGGGATAAAATGGCACTTCAATCCGCCGAAAGCATCTCACTTTGGTGGACTGTGGGAAGCTGCTATCGCATCGGCTCAAAAACACTTCGTCAGAGTGTTAGGATTTCGCACTTTGGCCTTCGATGACACTGAAACTCTGCTCGCTCAAATAGAATGCTGCTTGAATTCCAGGCCAATCGTTCCAATCAGCGACGATCCTAATGATTTGGAGGCGCTCACTCCTGGCCACTTTCTAACCGGTTCCGCCTTGAAATCTGTTCCTGACTACGATTATTCAGCAACCCCGTGCAATCGTCTTCGTCACTGGCAGCAAACGCAAAAAATCTTTCAAGATTTATGGCAGAGATGGCACATCGAATATCTGGCAACTCTCCAGCCACGAACTAAGTGGATAAATCCTTCAACCACCATTGAAATTGGACGACTGGTCATCATTAAAGACGAAAATGCTCCTCCCATGCGCTGGAGAACAGCCCGAATCACCGAGATCCACCCTGGAACCGATGGAATCGTTCGTGTTGTCACTCTACAAACACCTCACGGGAAATTTACTCGACCGGTATCCAAAATCTGTTTGCTGCCGATTGCACCATCACCGCTGAATGAAAACCATTCGTCGTCTAATCCACTGCTCACCGAAGAATCTCCAACCAACCAGCACTAATTGGATATGATCATCCAAATAAATCTCCAATGAAGAGGACCTGCAATAAGTTATACAAGGCCCTTTTTTCAAAGGGACAAGGTGAGAACCTGTCCAATTAATTATATATTTGCGAAACCCGCTACCGGGTCTTCTGTTTTCTTTTGCCAGCAACAGCAACAAATAACAATCGTCGTTCAGTAGACCGACAACAAGATGACGTCTATCACCAAAACATCGATCACGAAAAATCGGAACTACTCAACGAACGGACAGGGTAGAACACGGTAAACCAAAACTACCCAATGGAAGGAAGCATTTCATCGAGGAATAATCAGAAATACAATTTCTGAAGGGGCCAGAATGTTCGTGCATCATCATTATTCATCACGAAAGATCATCGCAGAACCACCTACATGTCAACCTGCAACGTGGACACCGCCGATCCCCTCGAACATTGATAGGTCGACCGACTCCGACAACCATTGAAGGATGACGTTAACGGCCCTTCGGAAATGGCAACATGGTGGAAAAATAACTTCCGATCACCCCTCGGATATAAAAAGCTCGATTCGTCGTTGGTGTGGTCTCTTGCTTCCTGAACGTCATCGGTGAAAAAAGTAAATAATAAACAGTGAAGAATTTTATTGAAGTGGTAGAGATTTTGAAGAGAATAAAAAGTGAATTGCATGTTTAACTAAGTTAAAGATAATAAAATAGTGATTAATTTAAAAGAAGAAGAAGTGTAAGTGATTTGCACCTGCATCTGGAACCTGAAAAGAAAAGGAAAAAGGGAAACCCTACCTTCCTGCGCTCGTGAACTGGTGAATCGCTGCTCGTCTTTGTGCTACCGACAATCATTTTTCCTTGGTCAGAGGTATTATTACGACTAAAAGTTACGAAAAAGCACTGATGCCTTCATTAAGTTCCACTTCAACGCAACGTTCAATGGTTAAACAAGTAAACAAGTTATTAAAATGAAATCACGTTCCCGAAAGCAGTCAACAATGTATCTTAAACCGGATCAAGCGTGCGCCCTATTTTTCTAAACATTCCGACGCGTTCCGCCCAATATCTATCAATTACGTTTTTCTACAATAGTAGCCTGGGATAAATCCTAATTCGACCGACACGTGTTTGTTGAAAAATTATATTCTGCCTAATATCAGTAGTCAGTAGTCATTAGGAAACCTGTTACTATATTACCACATATGTATCCTTCTTTCATGAATTTGTTTTACGAACATGATCTAACACAACCTTTTTCTATGACAAAACTATATTTTGATAAAATTGGATCATTGCCTAGACCAACTATTGAAACTAAAGAACAAAACAATTGGCCATAAAATCTTCCTGTAACCATTTTTTTATGACTGCAAAAAGTTTGAACTCTGGGGTTCGAAGGTGATAGCTTTACCGTATACCCATTAGCCCATTTCAAGATCGCATGCTTCCGAAGATTTTGCTTACAATAAGCCCCGCTCCGGTACAGTATCGATGCTGATAATGTAGGAAAATAAATAAAACTACTTTATGACTCAAAGTGCAATGAATGAGCGTTAGTTTCGGGATCATTTCAGTGTAAGAGTTATGTTAGTTTTGATCCGTAATCAGCCCTGCCGACCCCTCAACATTAGTTGCAGGCAGTGGTTGTTAGATAATGCGGCACTGTAATTACTACTATTTTAGAGGTATGATTCGTCAAGTTTATACAACTCTGAACTATGAACTCTGAGGCAAACTATCTATCTAACAATTACAAAAGCAAACCTAAACTTACAATTATATGCAAATGCAAAATGAAACTTGACAAATCATCGTCAATCCCCTTATTCCAGGGCCTGACGATTTGAATGTAATTTTGATCAGTGAACGGGTACATTTTCTCACCATGAACCTATCATCTCCAGCCTATCTGAACTATTTAATAAATGGAAGCCATAACATGGGTTACGCTCCCCCTAAGCGGACCCTCCGCATCCTGTCTCTGTCTTATCTCAAATACAAAATGCCAATGGTATGAATGTATCTATATATAACATGGAAATGACGTACAATCAAATAAACCCGTAGCCCACTCACTTGGTCAGGCTTCAGAATCGTCCAATGGGCAGTGCGCTCTACACGCCAAGTTACCTTTTTTCAAATTTACCGCAATTTTGATATTTTACCCATTGAGTGTTGATTAGTCACAATGAAAAATTGTGACAGAAGTTGAGGTTACTAGTGTATTAAATAATCTAGGTCCTATTTAGGATTATATCTGAAAAATCCAAATCTGGCCAACGCCCACCCTAAACCTAAACCTGTTCTAATCCACCTGAAATGACTAGAACGAAGAACGGGGGATAATAGAAAAAGTCAAATCTGCACCTCAGTGGATCAGTGGTATGTCGGCAGTCGCAAAAGGGAAAGATGACTTTCGTTTGGTGGTGAATATGCGGGCGCCCAATAAAGCCATCAAGCGAGAGTACTTCCGCCTACCGCTGATTGATGAGATGAAGGTGAAGCTGCATGGCGCAAAATTTTTCTCAAAGCTTGATCTTTCCAATGCCTTCTATCACCTTGAGTTATGTGAGGATTCACGAGACCTGACTACATTCTTGTCAGAGAATGGAATGTTTCGTTTTACGCGCTTGATGTTTGGCGTGAACTGCGCGCCTGAAATTTTTCAGCGTGAAATGACTCGTATCCTTAAAGATGTTGAAAACAAGATAGTTTATATAGATGACGTACTCATATACGCTGAAACCCTAGAAGAGCTTAGGAAAACCACCGCACTAGTTTTACAAACCTTGCGATCAAATAACCTTACGATCAATGCTGCCAAATGCGAGTTCGATAAAACGCACATAAAGTTTTTAGGACACGAATTAAGCGAAAAAGGTTTTAACATTGAGGCAGCTAAGATACGAGATATTCAGAAATTTCGGCAACCAGAAACAGCGTCTGAACTAAGAAGTTTTTTGGGACTAGCTTCATTTGTAAGTCAGTACATCAAGAATTTTGCAGAAATATCTAGTCCTTTGTGGATTGCTGTAACGACTCAAAACTGGAGCTGGGGGAAGGAGCAAGAAAAGGCATTTGAACTTGTAAAGGATAAGATAATCCGCTCTACCGTATCCTTAGGTTACTTCTCTGAACATGATAGAACCATCCTTTATACGGATGCCTCACCACACGCACTGGGTGCAGTGTTGGTTCAGCATTGCAAGGGTGGAACGCCGCGGATCATAAGTTTTGCGTCTAAGTCGCTAACTACAACGGAAAGAAAATATGCTCAAAACCAGCGGGAGGCTTTAAGCGCTGTTTGGGCCGTGGAGCACTTCTCCTATTTTTTGCTGGGGAGACATTTTGTTTTGCGCACAGATGCTCAAGGTATGACCTTCATTTTGAATAGATCACGTGAGGAATCGAAAAGGGCCTTGACAAGAGCTGACGGCTGGGCTTTACGCCTTAGCCCTTACGACTTCGACGTGGAATACATTCGAGGACGAGAAAATATCGCCGATCCATCGTCACGGCTATACCAAGGTGAAGATGAAGCTTTCAACGAAAAAGTAAGCCCTTGGGAAATATGCCGTTTGGAGCCACACTCTAACGATTTTCTTACAGAGAAAGAAATTCAAGAGTTTACGAAGAAGGATGATATCCTTCAACAGGTAATGCTTTTGTTCATATTATAGTTATAATTTAATGATTATGCACCCACGTGACATATTATAAATTTTGCTTTCCCAGGTAATTTGCTCGTTAGAAACGGGAAAGTGGCCGAAAAATGTGCTGAGGTATAAATCGATTGCTAATGATCTGGTTTATGAAGAAGGAATTTTAATCAAAAATGGATGTGCCGTTATTCCGGACAGCCTTCGGAAAAAAGCTTTGGAAATAGCACACGCAGGTCATCCGTTAGAGGCAAAGTTTAAGAGTATTCTGCGCAGACGTGTCTGGTGGCCAAGAATGGCAAGTGATGCAGAGGAATGGGTAAAAACGTGTATTTCTTGTGCGGTGAATGGGAGGCCAGAAAGACCAACTCCAATGCAAAGATCATTCGCTCCCAACGCCGTCTGGGATACCATCGCACTTGATTTTAATGGACCGTATCATAAGCTTGGTGGAATATTAGTTCTGGTTGTTATAGATCTCAGATCTAGGTACGCAATAGCACGTCCGGTGAAATCTACTAATTTTGAATGTACTAAAGCTGCACTGGATACTATTTTTGATAGAGAAGGTTTTCCAAGGGCGATGAAATCCGATAATGGACCACCGTTCAATGGAGACGACTACGCACGTTACTGTTCTGAACGCGGTATTCAAGCAATATTTTCAACCCCATTTTACCCACAGCAGAACGGTCTGGTTGAAGGGTTTATGAAAATTGTTAACAAAGCTATGTCCACAGCATTGGCAACAAGAGCAAACTATCAAGCAGAATTACAAGCTGCAGTACAAGCATATAATGCAGCAGATCATACTGTTACTAAATTGCCACCCGAGGAAGTTTTATTGGGCCGTAAAGTGAAGCGTGGTCTACCACTCCTCAGACACGAGAAGTCTTATTACGACGAGCACTTATTGGATGCCAGAGACCGTGAAGCCAAGATTCTATCCAAAGAACGAGAGGATGTTCGTCGTGGAGCTAGGACGAGTAGAGTCAAGCCAGGTGACACAGTTGTTGTAGAACGCCGATCGAAATTGAAAGGGGACAGCAGATTTGGCATCAAACGTTTTACCGTATTGGAGGAGCGTAATGGCAGTTTGGTTCTCTGTGATCCCGAAGGACAGCAACTCAAGCGGCATGTATCACAGAAAGCAATGGCGAGAAACGAAACCGGTGAATGCACAAGATCCTGTGCAGCAATTAAATCCCGATGATAGTGCTAACGACGATCTTCTTCAGCGACCGGAAAGGGAGAGAAGAGCACCATCATATCTTTCCGAATACGTCCGTTCAGCTGAGAAAGACCTCCACTATCTGCAATAAGTGTAGTAACGGAGACGGTTCCTACAGATTCAAATGAATATTTCTGAGCACTATTGAATAATTATTTGATTTTATTTACCCGTGGATTTTGCAAGTGTTTTAATTTTAAATTCTTGATGAAACTGGATGTGTTTTCTTGCTTTAAAATTGATCGTGGAAATCGAATCGGCGATACGAATTTATTTCTTGATGACCCTTGATCCTTTTTTTTCTATTCAGGAGAAAGTGGAACTAGGTCTTCATGCTTCGATATTCACAATGAAAGTGGTATCCAAAGGACATTGTGTCAAACAAGTACAATCTCTCAAGACTCAGGCTACTATGTTTTTTTTGTGTCTCCTTGAAGGTAAAGACGAGGGTTAAGATGCTAAAAAAAGTTTTTTTAATACTTTTTTAGCTTCATTTTGATTTTCTCGGGAGGAGAAGGGGAATGTGTGGGTATAGTCAACATACCTACTCGCCACTCTATAACGTGAACCCTCTGTATCGACTTGGCACCATTCAACAGAGATGGTTTGGACGCAAGCTATCATTCGAGTGTGAAAGTGTTGAGCAGGTAAGACGTGTATCCGAGTGTACCATTGTTATCCTGCAATGGGTGATTTCCCGGTGGAGTTTAGCCCTTCACAGTCTTCAACGAGGAACTACTAGCAACAGCGAAAGGGTTGAAGGCGAAGAAAGCTCTCAGCCGAGGGGCACGCAGTACAAAGAACCTTAAAGTAATTAATGCGTTTTGAAGTAGTACTGACGGTAATTAAAACTATCTATCCGTACTTAATGTAATTAAAAGTATTGAAAATGTGATAAATGTGCTTTAATTACGAAATTTCAACTGTAATTAATGGAGTTAAAAAGTAGTTAATGTTTCACATTGTGTAATTAATGTAATTAAATCAGTAGTTAATGGAATTAATTTAATTACAGCCGTTGTCTGCGTTGTAGTTAAAGGTTATTGCGTGCCCCTAGCTCTCAGCCCGGATGGAATTCCCAACGTGGCGTTGAAGGTAGCGATCCAGACTTTCCGGACATGTTCAAAATGGTGCTGCAGAAATTTCTGGACAAGGGTCAGTTCCCTGATAGGTGGAAGGTACAAAAGCTTTTGTTTTTGCGGAAGCCCGGAAAACCGCCGGGGGATCCTGCATCGTATAGGCCAATATACTTGCTGGATACTGTCGGAAAGCTCTTGTAGAGGATCATCCTGAACAGGCTGACGAAATGCACGGAGAGCGAACACGGATTGTCAGAGAGGCAGTTCCAGGCGCTCCATAGAATGAGGGTTTTAGACTACACAGCTAAAAAAAAGTAGTGTAAATTTCCGTTACTATGATGCACATAAATGGAGCGTCATAAATCATACAAATTTACATTATAAATCGTGTAAATTTATGAGACATGTCATGCAATATTCCATATATTGTATGCAACTTTCCACATTTGTTTGCAACATTTCTTACAAGCTGCTAGTTTACGTGAAAAGGAAGTTTACATGCATGAATGTTTGCATGTCTGGATGTTTACATCACCAGTAAAATTCAGATTTTTTTAGTGTGTACCTATGCAAGATTCTAAGTAGCTACTTCCAGAACCGGGTGCTGGTCTACGATACAGACACGGGGCAGAAATCGCTTAGGATCATGGCGGGAGTTCCACAAGGCTCCATTCTAGGTCCCACGCTGTGGAACGGAATGTACAATGGTGTGCTGACGCTCAAACTGCCCAAAAGAGTTGAGATCGTTGGCTTTACGGACGATGTTGTCTTGACGGTACCAGTTGAGACCCTGGAAGAAGTGGAAATGCTTTCGGCCGAGGCGATAGATACGATTGGTAACTGGATGCAAGGAGCGAAGCTGCAGATAGCCCACCACAAAACAGAAGTGATGTTGGTCAGTGCTTACACTTCGACGAACGTGCACTTTAAAAGCTCTGATGAAATATTTCTTCACTCCACTGTGTCTCCAAACAGAACCGTTCAACAGTAAGAAATCTGTCAACAAAAGTATTCAAACTTTGATACCGGTTTATCCAATACAGCTAAACATTTGCGTAATAGGCTGAGCTGAGTAAATGGTCGCTTCAATTGCCGCAGCTGCGTTTTACACGATATCCATCGCCATTAACATGCTGTGATGCCAGATTAAAGATAGATTAAAATGAAGTCATTCGTCATCCAACCAACATGGTTGTCTTAGATAAATATGTTCCTAGATAGAGGTTATTCATATTGAATGTAAATTCTTTATAAGGTAGAAACCACTATGAAAAGACGATGATATTCATCACGTGAATCCGAAACGAAGCAATGAATCATAACAATAAAGATTATAATTAAACTACATTCCTGAAAATGCACTAGCCTTTTTGAAGGTTTCCCCTCTTTGCTAAAAAAAAAGCCATAGACAAAGTCATAGCCATAGTCATAGCCATAGACAAAGACAAAGGAGATATGGTACAAGTGCATGGGCAGGCGAGAAACTGCAAAGGCCATGACAGATATGATCTGTGCAGGAAATGCGGAGAGATCGCCGGCGATGCTAGCGCAAATCGTGCAGTTCTTGTTTCCACGTAGGGACGTTGACCCCTGGCCGCGGGGTATCCCAGCCGCGGAACAGGGAGTAGTGTCTAGAATGACGAACAGTGAACTGACCGACATTGCCAAGTCGCTGGTGGTGGACAAGGCCCCGGGCCCAGATGGGATCCCGGTTGTGGCTCTGAGGGCGGCAGTCGTGGAAAATCCAGACATGTTCAGGTCTATATTTCAGACCTGTCTGGACGTAGGCATCTTCCCAGATGCGTGAAAGCGGCAGAGGCTGGTGCTTCTCCCGAAGTCAGGAAAACCCCCCAGCATACAGGCCCATTTGTTTGCTGGACACCACTGGTAAACTGCTTGAGAGGGTCATCGAAGGTGTAGACGGCCTGTCAAGCAGCCAGTACGGGTTTCGTAAAGGCAGATCCACGGTGGAAGCCATCCGTGACGTCATCCAGACGGCAGAGGTGGTCCATCGAAAAAGAAAGGGTATTCGTTACTGCGCGGTGGTAACTCTAGACGTGAAGAATGCGTTCAAGAGCGCGTGCTGGGGGGCAATAGCCCGCTCGCTACACCAACTCTGAATCCCCGGAGGGCTGTACAAGATTCTGGAAAGCTACTTCCCGAATCATGTGTTGAAGTACGACACAGAAGATGGTGAAAATGCGTTAGTGCCACAAGGCTCCATCCTGGGCCCGGTGTCATGGAACGTCATGTACGACGGAGTGTTGAGGATAAGATTCCCGGTAGGCGTGAAAATCGTTGATTTTGCCGACGATGTCCCGCTGGTAGTCTACGGTGAATCCCGCGAAGAGGTAGAGCTGAGAGCGGCTCAATCCGTTAAGCTTGTGGAGGAATGGATGAGATCCAGGAAACTGGAGCTTGCCCATCACAAGACGGAGGTGGTCGTAGTCAACAATCGCATGTCGGTACAGAATGCGACGTTGACAGTGGGCGAGAGCACACAGCGCTCTCTGAAACTCTTGGGAGTTATGCTCGATGATAAGCTCAGCTTCGGCTGCCACGTCGAGTACGCCTGCAAGAGAGCGTCTACGGCAGTGGGGGAATTATCCCGCATGATGTCAAACAGCTCGGCGGTGAGTGTCAGTAAGCGCAGGCTCCTCGCCGGGGTCGTAGTATCTATCCTCAGATACGGAGGCCATGCGTGGGCTGCGGTGCTGGATACTGACTGCCTCAGGCGGAAATTAGAGAGTACACACAGGCTAATGTGCATGAGGGTGGCCAGTGCATACCGCACCATCTCGAGGGAAGCCGTCTGCGTCATAGCAGGAATGATGCCAATCGGCCTCATCATCAAAGAGGATGTGGAGTGCTATGACACGAGGACCATTCGAGGGGTGCGCAACAACGCGTGCGCGGTATCGATTGTGAGGTGGCAGTCGGAGTAGGAAAACTCCACAAAGGGGAGGTGGACCTACCGCTTAATACCTTCCGTATCAAGCTGTGTCAACAGGCGTCATGGGGAAGTAAACTTCCACCTGACACAGTTCCTGTCAGGCCATGGTTGCTTCAGGAGTTACTTGCATAGGTTCGGACATGCAAGTACTCCCACCTGCCCCACGTGCGCTGGTGTCGAAGAGACGGGGGAACACGTTGTGTTCGCCTGTCCACGCTTCGACCAATAACGAGCGTTATGCTAGCAATATGCGGAGCGGATACCAGTCCGGATAACATCGTCCCTAGGATGTATGCTACCACCGAGATCAGGAGCGCGGTGATGACTGCGGTCACCTTCATAGTTTTGGAACTTAAACGAGTGTGGCTGCCCGACTAGAGCGTTAGAGTAAGGCTAGAGGAGCGCTATAGCGCACAGGCCCCTCCCACGAAGTAATGCTTTCGGGTGATTCCGGGGAGGTCAAGGGCCAAGCGCACAGGTTGGGGTTTAGTGGGTCGGGAGTGCAATTATCCCATCCCCACACCCTTAGTTACTTTCTCAGGTGTCTGTGAGCAGATTCCCCACTGTATAAAAAAAAATACCCATACCGAGTCCCTCTCGATAATGGTAACTGGGTGGCGGATAGAGCAGGAATGGCGACCATACAAGTCATGGGAAGGTATCCCATTCAACAAGTGGTGGTGGGCTCATACGAAGGTTTCGTGATCGCCTCAATCAATGGAATCTTTGTAAGTAGTTGCTACGCACCCCCGAGATGGACAATTGTGCAGTTCCACCAGATGCTAGATGGGCTCACCGGAGGGCCCATTGGACGAAGACCAGTCGTCATCGTAGGAGATTTCAATGCTTGGGCAGTGGATTAGGGGAGCAGGTGTCCTAACACAAGATCCTGCATCGTATAGGCCAATATGCTTGCTGTATACTGTCGGAAAGCTCTTGGAGAGGCTCATCCTGAACAGGCTGACGAAGTGCACGGCGAATGAACATGGATTGGTGGAGAGACAGTTCGGATTCCGGAAAGGGAAATCGACGGTGGATGCAATTCGGACAGTGATTGACAGAACTGAGAAAGCTTCCAAACAGAAGCGGAGAGGTGATCGATACTACGCCGTGATTACGATTGATGTGAAGAATGCAATCAATAGCGCCAGCTTGGAGGCCATCGCCAAGGCGCTCCATAGAATGATGGTTCCAGACTACCTCTGCAAGATTCTAAGTAGTTACTTCCAGAACCAGGTGCTGGTCTACGAGACAGACACGGGGCAGAAATCGCTTAGGATCATGGCGGGAGTTCCACAAGGCTCCATTCTAGGTCCCACGCTGTGGAACGGAATGTACAATGGTGTGCTGACGCTCAAACTGCCCAAAAGAGTTGAGATCGTTGGCTTTACGGACGATGTTGTCTTGACGGTACCAGTTGAGACCCTGGAAGAAGTGGAAATGCTTTCGGCCGAGGCGATAGTTACGATTGGTAACTGGATGGAAGGAGCGAAGTGCTATATGAGGAGAAAAATCAGGGGAGTACGAAAAATGGTGAGAACAGTATCGATGGTTAACTGGCAGCAGAAGTGGGATGCAGCGGAGAACGGTAGATGGACACACAGGCTAATACCGATTTTTTCGACCTGGGTTAACAGGAATTATGGAGAAGTCAACTTCCACTTGACGCAGTTCCTGCCTGGTCATGGCTGCTTCAGGAAGTACCTGCATCGGTTCGGACACACATCGTCACCCTTCTATCCAGAGTGTGGGAATGTGGAAGATTCACCAGAGCACGTGGTCTTAGAATGTCCTAGACAGGGCATCTGATCGTTCCTTTTTTCTAGCGAACGGCAGCAGCAGTATGAATTCAATTTCACCACTCCCTTATGTGCGGTACTTTGTATACCATTCAATACCCCCACATTACGCTTTGCATTCATACATACCGATGCACAGTAAAGCGAATAGATACCAAAAAGCATTCCCACTTTCTCTTCTTCAAAATCCTCTCCCGTACAGTCGCTCCCTTTCGCTCTGGTTTCATTCCCATTTTGATTTCATTCGGGTTCCTTTTTTCGTTTTGGGTTGGGAATGTCCGAAAAAACAGTCAATGAACGGCATTCATCGAGCAAAGTGGTTGGTGTGTTTGATGCTAAAAAATAACATGTTGGTTTGAAAGAACAATGTTTGGTTTTTGAACAACAACATTCAAGAATCAGTATGATTTTTGTTTATCAGAATGAGAGTATTTGAATGAATCTATAGTGCCTTTTCATATATGATTGTTGAATATATTTTTTTTATTAAATTGTCAACCTATTAACTCCTACCTTTTAGAAATTCATCATAAATACATTTGCACGGATTTCAGCATTGAAGGAGGAAACACCTTGCACTCAGTATACCACGTTTACTGAGCCAGCTGTTCAACAGGATGAACTGGACAGTTTTTTAGCGGACATGTTTGGAGGCTGTCTAGCAGGTTCAAGCGGAGACCCGAAAAGTATCCCAAACAAAACGCTTCCAGAACAGTTAAGTGTGTTGGATGTTGGATTGCGACAACCACACCATGTCAACGTTTGGGAGTACTGGGTACAGAAGAAAATCATGCAAAAGGATCTCTTTGAAGCAGCTGCTGTAATTTACACCGTTCTATCGACGCAAGTATCAGTGGAACGTGCTTTCAGTGCTCTGGCGTTAACGATTTTAGATCAGCGCATATCCTTGGGTGAAAACACCATAGAAGATTTGCTCACTATCAAAATAAACCAACCAGTTCTTGACAAGATATTGTTGAACTCAAATAATAGAAGTACTACTCTGCTTAGGTTTTTATTTCTCTGCTTGTTAAAAAATGATTGCACGTTGCTTTGAAGTTCATTAAATCATCACCCTTCCATTACTTCTAATATTTGAGTTCAACAAGTAGTAGAGTAGATGTTTGGGGCCTTTGGGTAGATGTTTGGTGGCTGGGTTCGATTCCCGGTCCGGTTTAGGAATTTTTCGGGTTGGAAAATTTCTCGACTTCCCTGGGCATAGAGTATGTTTGGACTTGC